CATCCCTCCATGCACTCCTGCCCCCTGAGCTGTCTCCCTGTGCATAAGCAGCCCTTCTTTCTCCCATGATTGTTCTCTCCAAGGAGTGAATCTACCTCAGAAAAATGTTCACCTCATATGCTTGTCTTTTGTTTGGCTGGAAGCCACAGGTATGGGTTCAATTCCAGACCTGAAGGGCAGCTAGGGTCCATAGTCTCAGTGGTTCAACCAGGCTCTATCAGACCAGCAAACCTGGTCCAAGGGAGACATTTCTTAGGGGACACTCAGTTTCTCCAAAGGTGATGGAAAAAATTGGGAAGACATAGTCATGATGATTGGACAACATGAGGAATATAATTAATGTCACTAAATTGTATATGTGAAGAATGTTGAAATGACAAATTTTTTGTTGCATACTTATTCACCACAATTAAAAAAACTTTCTTACTCACCACATTGAGCTTACCTCACAAAGGACAAGTAGTAAATTCTCAAACGCAGCTTGGGTATCCTGAACAAGTCAAAAACTGATGCTTGCATCCGGCCTGCGTTCATCTCTTTCTGCATGATGGTTCTCACACACTTACACAACAAAAACAACAACAAGCATTTACAAGGTGCCAGTGAAGCAGGGTGCACTACTAAGGCATTTGACTACTAACCAGAAGGCTGGCGGTTCAAACCCACCAGCCACTCCTTGGAAGGAAGGTTGAGCAATCTACTTCCGTAGTGATACTGCCTCGGAAACCCAAGGAGGGGTCGCTATGAGTCGAGTCCGACTCGACGACACATAACAACAACAACAAATGAAGTGCCAGGCAGAGTGGTAAGTGTTATATGAAGAGATAGACATGCTTCCTAGCCTCCATGCATTTCTATTCAACAGGAAACATGGGTCTTAAACACATGTGGAGAGATGTGCAAGGTTATGTCTTTGAGAGAAGCTCCTGGGAAGAGAAAGACACTTCTTGATATTAAAATCCCACTGAAACAAGCATGAGTTCCCATGCAGCCCATGCCTGCATTTCATCAGGACTCTCAGGCCCTTAGCCCTGAGTAATGGCATCTTCTCTGGGGGTACCTTGATATATATTTTTTTCTTTCAAATACCCATTGACTGGTCCTTTATTTCTAGGTTCTTTGATAAGGCATCCAAGGAGCCCTGCTAGCAAAGTAGTTAAGTGTTCAGCTGCTAATTGAAAGGTCAGTGGTTCAAACTCACTAGTTACTCCATGGAAGAAAGATGTGGCAGTTTGCTTCCATAAAGAATACACCCTCGGAAATCCTATGTGGCAGTTTTACTCTGTCCTACAAGGTTGCTATGAGTCAAAATCGACTCTATGGCAACGAGGAAGGTGTCTGGTCTCTTCTGGGGTTGGTACTGGGCTTCTGTTAGTTGTACCTCTGTCCACATTGGCACACATGATGCCTGAAATACCCTCCCTCCTCCTTTTTACCAGCTAATGCTTAATCCTTTCCTGGACCACTAAAGCTAAGGTTGATGCTTCCTCTGTGTTTCCCAAAGAACTCTGTGTATGTCTTGTCATACCACATGTCCTGCATTCTAATTGTCTCTTAATTTGTCTATGTCTCATCGTGACTCACAATTTTCCTGAGGGCAGGGGCTCTGAATTATTGCTGTGTTGCAATCCAGCACCAGGCTGAAGCCTTGTAGATGAATAAGTCGTTTTAAATGAATGAGTGAGAGAGTGAATGAATTGCACACATCAGGATCTGGCTTCCATGCACAAAGTGGGAGACTTAAGAAAACATGCCTAGGAGATTTTTCCACTTATGTAAACTCTTGGTCTACTCCAATGAGGGGAATATATATACGAACCTTGTAAGAAAAGAACTTTTTTAAAAAAAAAATCTGATTTACTACCATATCCACAGTGTTTAAAATAGCACCTGACTTACAATTTATGTTGAATAAATATTTATTGAATGGATGAATAAATAAATGTATAAATGCACAAAAGTACAAATCTTATCATTTTCCTGCTGTTTTCTGTATAGCCAATTGCCTTTCCTTTCAATGTCTTTCTTATTTTCCCTAAAAGGGTACCTGGGTTGGTGACATTGTAAGACATTCATTTTGTTTCTGTTACTTTCTTCTACATGTCAAGGTTCATAGCAATACCGATTTATCCCAACTACTTAGTGTACTCCAGATGCCAGTGAATTGCAGTATCTATGTCCAAACCCTTGACGAAAGACAGTGATCTAAGAAGACGCCACTCACAGGACTCCAGTTCTGGCCCTGTATTCATCCCAAGGACCCATATTAATGTGATTGTCAAGACACATCTTCATTTCCTCTCAGTGACGGGATCCCCTTTCCATATTACCATCAAGTTTAGGGTCTCTCCAATATCCTTTCTTCCATTTATGTGTGCAGCTCTTTGGAGTTGCTTTAAACCTTCATTCAGATTGTTGGTGATGATCAGCCACCGTGCGGACTCTGCAAGCCACCTGATCAAAAAGAGGACACAGTTACA